CCCCAAAACCCCAAAACCCCAAAACCCCAAAACCCCTAGTCCTGCTAAATTAATAAAAATATTTAGTTATGGAAGTAGCAGTAAAAAGACTCAGAAATATCTTCTGTCATTTTGATGTCAACAAGACTATTCTAATGCTGGATAGCTCTAAATTCGATAACTCAATCGGCCATTTACTGGTTTATCTAATATCAGCAGAGGCATGGGGAGTTTATAAAGAGTAAGACAATCATCAACGTTTAGAGAAGACAATTCATGGAGGCTAGCCACCAAGACATTGTCTGTGGACAGCCCAAACCTGGACAACTGTGAGATGCTAGTAAGTTATTCAAGTTAAATTTCTATAGGATTCAGCAGAGGAGAAACCCCAGTTAATAACTCATAAAGCCTTCCTTCTTAAAAAGTACCCATACGTGTGGTCTACAGATATTGCTGATTTCGAGAAGAGACAAGAAAAGCATCTTAAAAATAAGAAGGACAGGGAAGTTGAGCTGTTTAACTTCTTTAAGGACGAAAATAGTCATGGATGGCAGCTTAGAGACTACTACCAAAGTTTGATTGAAAAGATGGAGGTTACTCAAAAGCTGGACGAGGGACATCTCTTGTATCCCTATTTGAACAAATATTACTCAATTATTCCGTCATTTTTCAAATTTTACTCTTACCTGTTAGAAGAGAACAGTAAAGAAGATGCTAAATTCAAAGGGAAACTTATTTTTAGAACCTTTGGTAGTGACCATAAGATGATCTACGATGAACTGCTAGCATTTTTGACTGGAAATCACCCATTTTTCACAAATGAGTTTCCTATTGAACACCCAACAGATGGCACCTACTCAAATTGTGGGAATATCTTGAGATCTACCGAGGAACAGCTCGATATAGTGCTGATTTCAGGCATGTTCCCAAACAAGAAGCTTCTACAGGACTATAGGAAGGATTTATTTAACAAAGAGACCAGTAAGGCACCTCTCTCAACTTCTAGCTGACGAAATTCTGAAAGAAAGGCTTATCAAGACATTTGAAGAGAACAAGTTTAGTGATTACAGCACTGAACATTTGACTATTCACAGAGGGATTGAAGCTATCTCCAAATATTTCAGCAGTAATTCTAGCAATTAAGTGTTTTAGCAAACCAGGATACCTTCATGTGTGTCCAGGACGATTATGAAAGTTGGCATTTTCATGATGAAAAGACCTTTTTCGGGAAACCATTGATCGTGGATGACGAAAAGTAAGTCTTAAATGTAAAATTTTAGCCTTAATTTGTTCTTTGATGATCACTGCTATTACGAAGATGAGTGCATTGTGAATGTCCTTAACGCTGAAAATTGTGAAATGGTCCCGTACAAAGACCATATCAACAAGTACACAGTGAGAGTTGAACCCCTTAAGGGTAAGAAAGCATTACTTATCTTTAGCGATTGAAGACGAGGATTACTTCCTAAACACATTCAAAGAACTGCTCAAATTTCATAAAGTTTTGGAATAATCTCAATAAGTGTTATATAATTAGGGGTTTTGGGGTTTTGGGGTTTTGGGG